TGGGGACCAACAGCCTGAGAGCCTGCGGGGATGACAGCGATCCAGACTGAAGGCCTCGAGCAGAGAGTCATCCACGTATTTATTTGCTCTTTGACAGGTGAGTCTTATTAATACACAGGTGCTCTACATTTACACATAAGACTAGTAGGCAGCTGTTACCCACCTACCACTAATTACAAACTAAAAGGTATCCTCCACGGAGAAGCCAGACTCTTACCCAAGCACCTGCTCTAGGCCACCCCAGTGACAGCCTTCCTTTTTCCCCCTTTGTATGTGAAATAAGCGGGAATGCTCTAGGAGTATTAACTCAGAAACATGGTGACAATCACAGACCAATTGGTTATTGCAGTCAACAGATCCAGACGCAAAGGGGCACCCTCCTGGTTACCTCCTGGAAACACTATTCTGTTAGCTGTCTCGCACTCCGGCTTTCTGCCCCCACATCACTTTGAAGCGCTGTAACACCTTTTTTTTTTGTTTTTGAGACAGAGTCTTGCTCCTTTCACCCAGGCTGGAGTGCAGTGGTGCGATCTGTGCTCACCGCAACCCCTGCCTCCTGGGTTCAAGCGATTCTCCAGCCTCAGCCTCCGGAGTAGCTGGGACTACAGATGTGTGCTAATTTTTTGTATTTTAGTAGAGATGAGATTTCATCATATTGGTCAGGCTGGTCTCAAACTCCTGATCTCAAGTGATCCACCTGTCTCGGTCTCCCAGAGTGCTGAGATTACAGGTGTGAGCCACTGCGCCCAGCCCCTGTTGATCTCTCTTGCCCCTATGGCGACTCTCTCAATCCTCCGCTCCCCTTTGACAGTCATCTGGACAACTCTCCCTCTTTCCACTTGCAACTTCCAACCTCCCCAAGCGCTGAGCGCTCCAAGTAGTCTTCCTAATCCTCTCCCCGCTTTCTCTTAGTTGTTCATTCTGTAGATAAACATAACTTTTCTGCTTACTTTATGGTCACTTTTTTTTTTTTTTGAGACTGAGTTTTGCTCTTATTGCCCAAGCTGGAGGGCAATGGTGTGGCCTCGGCTCACTGCAACCTCCGCCTCCCGGGTTCAAGTGATTCTCCTCCCCCAGCCTCTCGAGTAGCTGGGATTACAGGCATGTGCCACCATGCCCAGCTAATTTTTTTGTATTTCGAGTAGAAATGGGGTTTCGCTGTGTTAGCCAGGCTGGTCTCTAACTCCTGACCTCAGGTGATCTGCCCGACTCAGCCTCCGAAAGTGCTGGAATTACAGGCATGAGCCACTGCCCCTGGCCTTATGGTCACTTCTTACAGCCACAGTAAGAAAGTCTGATGCCAACGCTGGCTGCTCTCTTCATTACCGGATTATATTGACTCGCCTCTAACCCCTGAGCTTCCTCTGGGAGTTACGTGCCTGTTTCTGACTTCTTCACTACGTGGTGGTCTCTAACCTCCATCCTCTGCAGCCTCTACTGCAGGACCTCTGCACTGGCTGTTTCCTCTGCCTAGAAAACTCTTCCACCAGACATCTGAATGGCTTACTTTCTCATGCCTTACGTGCTTTTGCTCAAGTATGATCTGATTTAAAGTTAAAATCACCCCATGACTGCTGCATGCTGCTAATCCTAGGCATTTTTCCTAAGCATTAATTTCCCTATGACATTACCACTATGTGACATACTATAAATATATCATAGTATATATTTTATTATTTACTTTTTATTATAAAATGCATTAGGGAAAGAGTATATTTTGTCTTTTTTAATTTTATTAATTTTTTTTAACAGAGCCTTGTTCTGTCACCCAGGCTGGAGTGCAGTGGCATGATCTTGCTCACTGCAACCTTCGCTTCCCAGGTTCAAGAGATTTTCATGCCTCAGCCTCCCAAGTAGCTGGGATTACAGATGCCTGCCACCATGCCTGGCTAATTTTTGTATTTTTAGTAGAGATGGGGGTTTCACCATGTTGGCCAGGCTGGCGTCAAACTCCTGACCTCAAGCGATCCACCCGCCTTGGCCTCTCAAAGTGCTGGGATTACAGGCGTGAGCCACCCTGCCTAGTTGGGAAAGGATTTTTGTCTGATTGTTCACTGCAGTGTCCCCAGGCCCAGGGAAGAAATCTGGAGCATTTAAGTGCCCAGAAATTATTTGCTAAATGAATCTCAATGTGGGATAAAGAAGAACCAGGCAGCTGGGTGTGGTGGCTCACATCTGTAATCCCAGCACTTTGGGAGGCTGAGGCCGGTGGATCACCTGAAGTCAGGAGTTCGAGACCAGTCTGACCAACATGGTGAAACCCCGTCTCTACTAAAAAATACAAAAATTAGGTAAGCACGGTGGTGCGCACCTGTAATCCCAGCTACTCGGGAGGCTGAGGCAGGAGAATAGCTTGAATCTGGG